GCAACAACTTCTGGAATTTGCAGTAATCTATGACAGTGAGATCTTACACCAATAGAAGCATAACTCTCGAATTTGAGGGAATTCTGGGGTAGTTTCAAAACCAAAGTTCAAGAATACATATCTTTCCAACAAATGTGATTTGAAAGCATTTGGGCTCCAATTACTGAATCAAAAGCTTATAGCAACATAAGAGAATCTATGAATTCTACTAACAGTGACATATCCCTATTATTAGTGGCATAATTTTCAATCTAGAAGGTATTTTGAAATGATTTCAACATAAAACTTTAAGTAAACGCACAGATCTTTCAAGTGGCAGTGGTTTGAAAGTAATTAGACTCCATTTGGTCATTTAAAAGCTCAAGACAACAAAAGCAAACAGTTATGAAATTCAGTGAAATCTGTTAACAATGATATGCTTGCACAATTTGAAGCATAGCACCTCATTTATAGAGAATTTGAGCAAAGTTTAAACATGAAAATCATAGTAGACACATGGATCTATCTAATGGAGGTGATTTGGTGTTATTTGGATATCATTTGATAGGTCAACATAGTGCTACAAGAACATGCAACTTCCCTGGAATTTCACAGTGTAAGCATGACATCTCTCAAGTAACAATCAATTACTCCCAATTTAGGTTAGACATTAATATGAAACATTTTTCATATTGAATTAGACTCACATGAATACCAATTCACATATTTTCATGATTAACAATAGTAATTTCAATGCACATCTTGTCTTGCACAGAAGACTTAATTTTTGGAAAACAATGCACCACGATCTACACATGCAATCATTGGTCCCCAAAATTCATACAAGTTCATGCTTAGTTTTCATACTCCCACAACTAAAAACATGCAAGGTTTTTGATCCACTTACCTTGTGTGTGCAATGGTGTTATCAAAACCCTTCACACATTCACTCCAAGTCTTCCCACAAAGCTCAAAGGGGGATGGAGTTTGGTGCTCCAAGAGAGAAGGATGGGTTCAAAATGTGAGATAAAGGGGGAGAAGGGGCTTTTGTACTATCTCATATGGGAGGTGGCATTCTGGGCTTGCCAAGTGGCAACCTTAGTGTCATGCAGCTTGACAAGTGGCAAGGTGGCAGCATGCAATAGACAGATGGCAACCATAGGTCATACACAGGCTCGTGGTGTCACGCACGACAATACTCTTTTAGGCTTTTCTCATTGCCGTGCACGTCTTCTCTCTTACTGCCCTACGTGTCTCTCTCTCTTCTCTCTCATACTACCGTGCGTGCCCATTGCCGCACACATTTACTGCCGCGCACGTCTTCTCTCTTATTCTCTTACTGTCGTGTGCATCCCTCCTTAGCCCGTCGTGCACGCTATCTCGCCGGGAAAGTCTAGGTCGTTACAAGAGGTATTTTAAAAACGAACCCATTTTAACACTAAAAAAAAGCTGCATGGAAGGTCGCCCTTCCACTTTACAGCTTCCACACAATAATATCAAACATGGAAGTAGGACATTTAACTCCTGCTTCCAGAAACTTCCACTTATCAAACATGCTCGTAGTGTTTGAAAGAAAGCGGCTGTGTCAGCTCGAACTTGGCTGCGTTATTCGGGTTTGGGCAATGGTCGTGCCCTTGTTCTCCCAAGTTGAGGGTCTCACTCAGGGATCTCAAAAAATAAAAATAAAATAAAAAATTTTAAAAAATCCAAAAAATAAGAAATCCATTTGTAATATTTTTTTGAGATATTGTCCAATTTACTCCATCCAAACAAAATAGACGGTGTAGATTACTCTAATCTTATTTCTACAAATAATGTTGCAATATTGTATAAACTTTTTTCATTGTAGAATAGTCAGTAATCTTTGTTGAAAATAAAAAATAGGGTATTTAATATGGCGTTGAGAGATTTTTAATCCTTATTTACTAGGCTAGTAATTGCTTAAACATATAAGAAATAGCAATTGAAAAGAAAGAAAAAGGCAATTTCCGCTTTTTTCTAGGAAAATGGGAAATTTTAAATTTACAACTAATAAATTGCAATTGAAAAAAAAGAAAAGGCAATTTCCTCTCTTTTTTCTAAGAAAACAGGAATTTTTAAGTAAAAAATTTATCCAGTCTTTGTGCATGTATAGAGACCTTATCTAGGAGGGCACTATACGTGTATGTAAAGCTTTTTATAAACTCATATTTTGAACCAACTTGTTCTTAAAAAAGTCGAATTAATTAAAGGGTGTGGTTTGCTAGAACTTTAAACAATCAAAAGGCCCATCTCTAAATTTGTTCACAAAATTTAATTTTAGTGTTAAAATTTATCTGGAGAATCTATTTCCATCTCTAATTATAAATTTTTATACTAAAACTAGCTAAAATAAAGCTAAACATATAAAAGTCTTAAAAATAGATGGTTGAGATAATGTATTGCAAGTTTTACTATTGTTTGTAATCATAATATTTTTCTTTCCATGTCCATGCATTTTAAGATTGAGATGATCAATTAGATAGTTTTCCAATCTCAAAAAAACCATTTTTGATGGTTTTATTAGATACACCTTACTTCTACAATATAATGGGTCACCTTTATATAAGCTTTTAGGAAAGAAAAATTGTCTCATGCAGGCCGGACCGCATGACTACATATGCGGTCCAAAAAGTGTAAAGCATCCATCTTAAAGATGGATGTAAGTAGGTATTCCATCTAAAAACAATAGAAACTAGCGGTCCAAATGTTTTTTTTACCAGAATTATTATTTGTAGTTTTTTAAATTTATTTATTTTTTTATTTTCATTATATCCATGTTAGAGATTACATGTCCTTAAAAATTAAGTCCAATTATCCATCTCAAAAAGATATTTATTAATAAGCTTGTATTTCTATATATGCGGGCTTGGCCGCATAGAAACCGGGTCCTATAGAAAAACTATTATATGTGTAAGTCGGTGCAAGAGCCCGCTGACTCTTCAAAATCCATCTTTAAGATGGATGTTGTATAATGCCCACAGGTCCAATCAGATACGGACAGTGTAAAAAACATCCTAAAAAAAACACACATTTTAAAGTTTTTTTTTTTTTCTCATATTTGTGATCAACTTGGCTTAAATGATGAATCCCTAAAAGTTTAGAACAAAAATCCATCTTTAAGGTGAATTTTAAAGGGGACCCGTGTACATGACTACGCTTACTCATAGAAACCCCATCCAAACTTTTATTCTTCAAACTAAAAAGTATAAACTTAAAAAAAAAGAAAAATTGAAGGAAAATTATGCAAAGAGACCAATTCTTTTTAGCACAAGGAAGTTGCAATCATTGTTGTCATTCAAATTTTAAATCGGGTGGTTATGAGCATGTTAATGATTAGATTCAAGCCTTTTTATTTTTTTTGACACACTCGATGCCATCAAATTTGACATGCAATGTAATGGCTAGGAGTAATTGTGATCTCCTTATCAAAGAAGAAAAATGATCTTATATTATACAAGCCCAAAATTTAATCTCCCAATTCATTATCAAAATTGTTTTTAAAAAGGATTTTAGGTTTAAATCTCTTATTTAAAATAGCATGTCTAGGAAAAAATAAAAATAGCCATGAAAGTACATATAATAAATAGCAAAAATTGCATAAACCCCCCAGATATAGACTTTCGAGGCACTTTACCCCCCTAATTTTTCTTAATATATTTTTCTCAAAAATTAAGTTTTATAGCTAATACCCCCAATACAAAAAGTTCATTTTTTGGATGAAAATACCCTTCACGTAAATTACAGATCATTTTCAGATCTAAATAAAACGAAATGTCGGACCACGGTTGTACCCATCCATTCTGTCGGACCGAAACTTTACACTGTCGGACCGTCTATTCCAGACACAATTTTCAATTTTGCCGGACCGTAGCTCAAAAATGCCGAACCGCTAGAAACAAATGCCAAATCGCCTCTTCCAAACTCCGGACCGCCATGATGAAGTGAAGTGCCGAACCGTTCCAAATCAGTAACTCAAGAGTCGAATCGCCATGGTCAACGTGTGAGGTAAGGGAGGGGTATTTTAGTTTTTTTAATTTATTTTTGAGTTGGGGGTATTTGATTTGAAACATGGTTTTTGGCGAAAAAATTACTAAAAAAAGTTTGTTTGGGGGTAAATTACTTAAAAAGTCTATTTGTGGGGGGTTTTATGTAATTTTTCATAGAGTAATGATCCTATAATATCCTCCTATACTCATGTGCATAGGACCCCAAATGAGCACTATTAAATTTGGCACAAATATTTAAAAAAGTTATCACATGAGTATGGGACTTGATTTTTCTAAAGATCTGTACCAAATTTAATGATGATTATTTGGGGTCCTACATACATGGATGTGGGAAGGTCTCACAAGGTCAATTCCCTTTTTTCTAATAGATAAGTATATTATCTAAAGGGTAAGCTTTCTATGCTTCCTCTAGCATAGAAGTTCTATGCTCCCCTTTATCCTACCATTTATTCTAAATGGAGGGTTAAAATTGCCCCACTCATAATGTCATGTCTTTACACTATTTTATTTTAAATTTTTTTTTTATAAACTATTTTGATACCAAATTTTGGACGTCCATTTTTCTATTAAATTCGTACTAATAAAAAATAAAAAAAAATATTTTCAATAAAATAAAATAACCAAAATACCTATAAAAGTTTTAAGGGGTATTTTAGTCATTTTATTTTATCAAAAAATTATTTTTAATAGGTGTGTCCCAATGAGAAGATGGCACTTACCAAATTTCATATCCATACAATTTGTATAAAAAAAAACTAAAAATAAAATACTTTGAGACATCAGATCTAAGATCAAACAGTAACTTACTCTTTTGATCAAAATTGAACGACTGAATGGCAGGGGACGATAGAACTTCTATACTGTACGGGGAGCCTACAAACCCTAACTTATCCAAAAAAAACGTAAACTTTAAAAAAGAATGAAATTTTAAACCAAGGCCATTGTCAAAACTCTATTTTACTTGGATTTTAGATTTAAATCTTATTGCGTTTATGGCTTTCTTAAAACTTAAAAGCATTAAAAACTCTTATATCAGGATTCTTTACAGTGTCTTTTATTCAGAATGAATACAAGGAAGGCAGTTTTAGAGAGAGAGAGAGTGAGAGGGGCACACGTTCGTTGTGAGATTTGATTTCATCAAATTATTGACGCCCGCGGCTTTGTATTGCAATCGAGGAAACCCTAAAAAGATCGACGGACTTTGACAAACAGGTATCAGTTGTTGAAATCACGATTGCTTTATTTCATGGCTATACATTAGATCTGTTTCAATGTCCGTTTCTCTTCTGTTCTTCTCTTGTTGTTTGTTTGAACTTTGAATAGTTTTTGTATTCATGTAATTGGTTTTGCGTTTCTTCTTTTTGCTGCCTTTGATCTATTATAGGTTTGGATTTGTTATTTATTTATCCTAGAAAGGAGAGTGATCTGCAAGCGTTTGTCAAGGTTATGATTTTAGGGTGTTGTGGCGTTTTTATTGATGGCTGCGTTTTATTCGATTACGAACATCAAGTAGATTTTCTTTTTTTTTTTGAAGAAATCTTTAACTTTTTAACATCCAGTAGGTTTCCGAGATGGATAAGGTGAAATGTGTGATTTTTGTGTAATTTACATCAATTGTGTTTCTTTTTTCTTTTTCTTTTTTGTGATTATTTTGGGGCGGACATGTAATACATTGAATTAAGGTGAAATGTGTGATTTTTTTTCTGGTTCTACTGGTTTTTGTCATCATTAGGAGGAAAAAAAATAGCTCCATATTGTTACTTTACCGTATTAGGAACCTAAAAGAAGGATGGGTTTTATTTAAGACTTGTAGATATAGGGTTGAGGAGCTTTACTGCGAAGTTTTAATTGATAATTCAATGTTGTAAGAACCATACTGGACAAACCCGTTTGAACCAAAAACAGGGAACTGGTTAATAGACCGGTCTGGTCTGGCATATTGGACCGGAGGGTCCATTGAACCGGCCATGGACTGGTGGTACAGCTGGTCCTTTACTTTTACTGAAAGTACTCCTTCTTTTTAGAAGGACCCGGTTTCTAAGTGGCTAAGTCTGCATATGTAGAAATGCGGGCCTATTAATAATATATTTT